TATGACATTTTACATTTCTCCTATTTCAATATTTATGAATAACATTAAAATTGCGGAATTTTGTTTTCGGTCTCGTCTTCGCAATAAAGCATATATACGGAGCAATAATTAGAAGCTAGACTCTTACTTCACTATTAATCATGAATAATAAATAATTGCCTCCATTGTCATCTGTCATATTAAATAAAACCACAATAACCGAATAAATGTCTATTCACATCTCTGTGAATATTTGAAAAGTTGTGATATTTTGTGAGGGCACGAGATACATCTAATTTCTTCTCTGGAAACTTTCTATTGTGAGCGTGATTGCGTAGAATAAATTTTATGAGTTGAGAACGGCGAGGAATATTCAACAGAAACGTGACTAATAATAATAATAATAATAATAATAATAATAATAATAATAGTAATAGTAATAATAATAATCTTATATCGGAAAATAATATTATAGTGAAATATTTTTCAGAATTATGTTGATGTGGAAGATATACCGTACGAAGTTCATTTTGGTGTAACGGACTCGCAAGACAAGTTCATTTTGAGATTTAATGGGTGTGTGATAAATAAACTATTTTAATTAAGAAATTACAATTAACCAATTAAATGAAAATTATATTTTTAATTGGAACCCAGCCACATGCAATTATTATGTCAATGGACGCTCATTTAACACTACAAGTACACGTACTACAATGTACATGAAGCTACAATATTGTGTGTGAAGTGTTAATAAATTTTCAGCGATTAAAGGTATTTTTTTCTCATTTAATATCGTTTTGAACTAATTTGTACAACTACTTTCATATAGAGACCATTCTAAGTAACTTTGGGGGTAATGGTACCGGTGTACGGAAATACAAATTTCCATTCCGCGGACGGAATTCGAGCTCGCGACCCTTCAGGCACGAGTCAACTAAGTTCTTCAGCCTTACAGATTATGGCTATCCAGGCCAGGGATTTTTACCTTCAGTTGTATTTGCCATCGAGTAGAACACCCAAATTCTTTAGTACATCGGATAATAAAAGAAATGCACACAAATTGCCTCTCTAATTTAAATACGCACTCCAGTACTAATTGATTATCGTGGTTCAGTCCAGCCGTACTCATTCAGCATCGTGGCAGAAGTGCAGACCACACAAATTTGGGCTACTGTCGATGCGGTTGATTGAAGGGTTCGTAAAACAAGGGGCTATTACAAATTATTTTGTGAAATTGAGTTATTAGCATTAAATTTAACTTCAAATATTATATTTTTGTGAACTTCAATCACGTGTTGTCGCGTAGGGCCTCTCTCTCTGCTGGCCCCAGATCAGAGAAGTCCGTAAGTGAGTTGGTGCGTACTCTATGGTTGCATATGTGTCCCATCGCCATGTGGCGGAAGCGGTACCCGGCAGACGGCTGGATAAAAGCAAATGTAAATGTACCGTGCTTGAAAGTTTAAAAGTTTACTGAATAATATTATTAAAGTTGTAGTAAAACCCTCAATGTCTCAAATGTAGGTCAATGTGGGATAATCTCTTGTCATACTGAACCCTTCAATTGTGTCTACTCGTTACGCACCAGGAAGCAAAGAAATCACGCTCCTCATTTCCTTCAAACATGTATAACCCGTGGAGACGAAACGTTTGCAAAATGAACCTCTTGGCATAAATTGTTTTCCCAAAATCGCATGTTAATAAAATCTAGAGCTTAGAAGCGTATATTTTGAACGTTGCAACACACTCAAGGTCTTTTTTTCAAATGGCTGTGAGATGGCCTAACCCTAACTACTAAGGCCTTTACCCGTTTTTGAAAAAACATGAATTTTAGCAGAATCTGAGGGCATTTGTATTCATTATCGTTTATATTACGTCGAGAGAAGGTATTTCAGGAAGTCTCAGATTATGTGTTCTTCTCTTCCACTTAAAAATAAAGAACTTAACAAGTAGTTCTCTTCGCATTTTGTTTCGGATAATCCTAATATCTGTTACAAAAAAGTAGGTGCGTGATAGTGTTGTGGGAAGAGGCATGAGGACGCACGAGTGGCCGATGCAGTTCCCGGTCGCAGGTCGCAGGCGGGGAGGGGGGGGGCGCCACCGCTCGCGAGAGGTGCGCGCGCGCCGCTACGTAACGCGCGCCGCTGCGGGAGGAATGCAGGAGAAAACGGCCCGCGCCGCAACCCGTCGACCTCAACAAAAAGAGCAGGCGGCGGCGGAGGCGGAGGCGACGGCGGAGGTGGGCTGGCGGAGGGAGAGGTGGAGGCGACGGCAACGCGCCCAGCGGCCGAGCGAGCGGTTCTGTCCGGCAGGAAGGCCGGAACACTTCCTGTTGGCCGATTGGCCGCTAAACAGCGCTGCTTGCGGAGCCGATCCGGGGCGCGGCGGGCGCGGGGAGCCGGGGCAGGGGTGCGCGCGGAGAAGAGGTCGCGCCAAAGGGCAGAAGAGCAGTCTTACATAACAGTTTGACTCACACTCTGTTTACTTATTGGATATTGTGCGTTTGAAACTAAAATCCGGTTGCTAAAAGGGAAGATTAAGATCAGCAAGAAATGGTGATGTATTAAATCAATAGTGTGATCTTCGAACAATCTACTGTACATACGCTTGCTTCTATTTTTATTTTTTTAATCTCGTTTCATTGTTTCGATACTTGATATTCACAAGATTACCTGTTTTGAGACATGCACATAACAATGAAGTGCTGCTTGGGTTTGTGCGTGCGATTTCGAGTGAAAATACATCATAACGAGTCTTGTCCTTTTACTTCTGCGGAGCCTGTTCAATCCGTCGGCTGCCAAACCTTGACCAAGAAAGCTCTTCTAACGCATTAAAGGTTTCACAACTTCCTGGCCTCGGAGTTGACCAACATCAAGTGCCGTCCACTCTCACCCTTTGGACTGAGCGCATCTTTTGTACGAGCTCACCATTGCTATCACGTCCACAAAGATACAATCTCGAATTTCTCTCTTCTGTACATAGGCTTTTTATTGCCTTATTGTGTCGCACGAGGGGTACTTGGTGAAGACCAGGTCACGTCCAAGTGCAAGGTACCCGTAATGTCGCGTCGTGTAACGTGTTCGCATGAAAGGGCACTGACCGCAGAGGTTTTGTCGGTTTTATCTATGTCAGGATCGGAATGCGACTTCAGTGTTTTGAAGGATTTTATAGAGTACGCACGGAGAACTGTCGAATTGAGACTTCCAATATTTAAGAGCGGAGGGTACGCTCTTTAAATCCATGATAATATCCTAATTATTTTGGTACTCGAATATGTTTGGTACTCGAATATTTTTTATGTTGTAACGGCGACAATTTTTTTTAATGTCTTGCCTCATTATGATTTATTTGTATTCACTTTGGTGGTTATCCTACGTACGGCTTAAATGCTAATTTCCTCCAAAGACAGCCTGAGAGATACATCTAGATGTTTAGAAAAATATCGGTATCAACGTCCCCCAAGACTAAACTGAAACCTGGAACCCCTCAGCATTTCACACGCAGTACATATACGAGAAAGAATTCTCTGAATATTCGTTTAGACGCAATAATTCGATGAAAGTCTTTGGCCTATATATTGCAAAACATGTTACAAAACTGGTTACAAAACAGACTAAATATTACAAAAATTGATTTACATTAATCACTAGGTCGTAATAAAAATCTTGCGTAATTTTAATCTTCAAGAACTTATTGAATCCCCTATCTCCATCCATGTACCTATGACATCCACATACTACACGTCACAAACCTATTATATATGACTTAATAAGCCAACTATGAACTTCGTTATCCTCACTTCCATCTACTACGCTGGGAGCTGCAGCGGTTTTAGTTCACGGTGTCTCTCAAACCCTCTGTCCTTAGTTCTGCACTCAACGATTATGGTATTCTTGTAAAATAAATGTTTTAGTTGATGCAGAATACACACATATACTTTAAATTCATCATTATAATTATTATTTTTATCCATTTTCAATCCACCCGCTCTCTTGCCAACCCAGAGCGCACGGAGGGGCTGGACTAAAGGGGAGGTCGCGCGCTGTTGTCCACTGCGCATTCACCTGGAAGTGAGCCAGGGAAACAAGGAACTGCCGATCGTCTGCTCTCGTCGTGGGGATTCGATCCTCGAGCGGTCTTGGGAAGACGAGAGTATTTTCCCCTTTCCATCAGGTTTATATCCAAAATGGATTCAAATGGCTGACAATAAATAAAACAAGAATAACATATGTTGGTTCCTTGAATTGTGCATCAAAATTATTCAATTTGCAATTTCACACGGAGCTACAACGAGATCTTCAATACTGCCTTAGTCTGGGGAATACTCACACTTCTGCTTTTGATAAAAGACGTTTTGTAATTTAATTGGTAGCTAATAATGACCATTGTCTGAAACAATATCATATATTTATGATGGAAGAGAAGACTATTAGGACTAAACCAAAAAAAAATAAGTGTGGGAAAACGTAGGTGGAAAGGGCAATGCATTCTTACGTTATTCGCTCTAACACTACGTTAGAAATTCCTAGTTGAAAGGTCCACTGTCTTGACGTTCGACGCCTGGGCGAGCAGGAGCCGCGGGCGTGGGCGGTGAGGCGAGGAAGGCGGGGGAGAGGGCTGTGAGGAAGGGCGGTGGAGTGAGAAGGGGCTAGGAGGGGTGGGGGGAGGGGGCAATTAGGGGTGGGCGGGCGAGTGGCTGCGTGTTGGAGCGCGCCCTGCCGTCGGGATGAACTTGCACTTCTGAGCGAAAGGAAAACGGCGTCGCGCGGCGCGGGTGGCTGCACTGTTTTTTCCACGAAAGAACGGAGATCGAGGCGTCCTCGGCGGCGGCAGCCGTGGTGGAGACGGAGAAGGCTCCGTCGTAGCTATCCTTTGACTACCGGGAACGCGGAGTGACTCCAGGAATTGCGGGATTTCCCTTAAATTACGTAACGCGCAAATGGCGAATGGAAGCACGGAGAAAGAGAGAGTGATTTATCTATGTCAATGCAAGATTGTTCTAGAGTCATTTTCCTTTCACCTTCCCCCTTCGGAGCGGCCTCCCCTAAATTTACCGCGTGACTGGGCTCGCCTTCCCTACGCCAGTAGTGGGAATGCTGACGCAGTCGCACAGTCGTATTGCTCTTCCCGGGCAGAAGCCACCGGCTAGTGAAGCGAACCGATCAGTGAAGGTCGAACAGCGCCGAGGGTCTCGAACAGCATCGAGTGCGCCAGGTGTGAATCGGCTCAAGAGGCCTGAGAGAGTGATCGTGCACATCACTCCAGGACAACGGTGAGCTTTATACTTAGACGTTGTGTTTGTTCTTCTCTTATTTTAGCGCACGACTCGTGCAAACAAGTGATACGTAGATCGTATTCATACGCCAAGCTCGTGGCTAAGAGGGTACTATGTTTGGAGCAGTTCGTAAAATGACCAAACCTTCTACATGAAAGTGGAGATAATATTATGCGACGCAAGTGCGTCTTCGAAATTAATCGAAAATGTGTTTCATCGAATTGAAGAGCCTAGATTTAAAAAGAGGAGAGGCCTATCTGCTACACTTTCATAGCATCCATAAGTATTGCGACGAGTTTATTTCGATATCCGATAATTTTCCGTGTCATTAATAATTAATCAGGTTTAACAATTTAAGATGCGATGTTTCTCAGCTGATCGTGAAATACTCGTCGTATATGGTAGCGATGAACCCCTATTCACTAAGTTTTGCATAGAAACGCTAATCAACAAAAAAAACAATCCAAAGAAAGCGTTCGCTACCTGGTTGTTACGAAAGGGAAAAGATTAATTACTGGTTCTCCTCTGATGAGCTCGTGTAACTCTGCATCGTGTAAAGATCTTGAATCCATTTTATTAAATCTTGCAACATCTGTAGTCTTTGCTAATAAACTTACCATTTCTTTTAACTGGAATCTACGAATAATTTTATTTTATATTGAGAGAACGTGTGCGTGAAGATAATAAAATGTGCAAAATAATAACGTTAAGCTAGTTTAAAAAATAAGAATTTGAATTTATGTACGGGTTGCATTAATTACAATTTCCATACTATTTTTCTGCAGTGTCAATACGAAAGTTCAACTTTTTTCATTAAAATCAGCAAAGTCAGAATTTATTTCACGAAAATCAGTCATGTATTTTAAAGTGAATATTCAAAATAATTGAAATTGAATAGTGTATGTCATGCGACTCTTGGTGTTAAATTGACATTTTTTCTGCTTTGACCTACTTCCGTTCGCCAAGTGCCTGCCACGTCATTTCCTCTCCGCAGCGTTACACCTCTTAGCGCCGCCCGCAGCGCGCTCGCTAACTCGTGCCAACGCGCCCTGTGTTGCGTCTTCCGAGGCGCGCGACGTCTGAGTTGCTCGAGGGAGGGACGCGGGCGAGACGAAGGCGGCACTTGCTGCGGGGCCTCACGAGCGAAGGCAGGGACCACACTCTTCAGAAGAGCCTAAACAAAAAGCACGCTAATACATGAACGTTGCATTCATTGAAATGAACATTTACGTTCACAAATCTAATAACAAAATATGTAACTTCTTAATAATTGTAGAAAAACACTTGTCGGACAAGTTTTTTTCAGTTGTCAGAAACAGCATGCGATGTCTTTGGAGGCATATGGACGTATCTTCCTACATTTCATGTTGATGGAAAACGCAACGTGGTACACGAAACAAGCTGCACATGCCTAAAATGAGAGTGAATTTCATTTATGATAAAAGTATGCAGAAAATAGAACTGTACTGGTACGAAATGTGAATTGTTGAACAAATTTTGTAAATTATGTCTGTTTCGCTTAATAGATTGATCTAATCCATAAAGGTATAATATCTCGCATCAAGGAGATTGCACTCGTCGTAATATCGCAGGATTTCTTTTCTATAAAACAATTCGGTATCCAGTTTCCATCAATGTTACTGTTTGGTTTGCCGTTCGAAACAAATGGAATTTGTGAACACAAAGATGATTCATGGAAGCTTTTCTCTAAATTCCAGGTCATATATTGTCTTCATCAAATTATAGCTTCACCTTCATTCCATTCTCACTTATTCTTAATTTCAGGGGCGTAATTAACCCTTTTTTTCAGAATCTGCATTTTTTCCACTTTGCCCCACCTTTGGGTAAAGTGGAACTAAACTAATAAGAAAATAATATTTGCTGCTTCATCAAATATTGATAAATAATGTAAATCGGAATAAAAATTATATACCTATGCAATGATTTATTTTCTATCTACGTACAAAGCTTATTTTTTATCGTTTTATGTTTTTTGAAGTGCGCCCTTGGCAGAACCATTTCTCCTTCCTGAGGCTTTTTTCAACGCCAGGGGAAGCCGATTAGGCTCTTAACAGTTTGTGGGTAAAAGGTAGTGAAGTTGTGATAATGCGCTGCCTGCCGGTTGCAGTGCGCGTGCGGCGGGGGCGCCGGGCGTGGCATGCGGCCGGGCACGTGGCTGGCGGTGGGGCTGGCGCTGCTGGCCGGCGCGCTGGCCCGCCCCTCCGACGCTGGCCTCCTGGACTGGGCGCGCGCAGACCGCATCCAGCAGATCGTCAACATCCCCTGGCTGCCCTGTGAGTGCCCGCACACGATAATCATGTAGCTCATTCATGGCAGTTTGGGCAATGATACTTTGTCGACGCTTTGGAAAATAGATTTCCTTCCTCAAGGGCTGCACACGGATAAGTTCAGAGAAACAAGGTATGATTAAATATTGTGCCAATCGTACAGTACTATCAAAACAATTTCATTATGAGTTTTAGTTGGGCTGTATTAAGTGCAAAACTGGATTAGATTTTTAATCAACACGTATTTTTTACCTTATTCATGTAAAGCTCTCAGCATGGAAATTTTTTTTTGAAACGTCGGCAACCAATTTATTATAACTAAATTTCAGTGATCAAGTCCAATAAACATGTCGATTTGAATGTATGGCTAATACTTAAAGACTTTTTATATAGTACTCTCTCATTTTCTTAGGGTTAAGTGTCCCTCGCAATAATTGGGGTTTTAAACTAAAAATTATTATTTGATTTATAATTTGCATTGAAAATGCGTCAATATTAAATGAGGCAACGTGAATATTTTATGCTTTCATATTAAAACCGGGCTGTTCAAAACAGCTGACCTAGCCCCACCGCCAGAGCTCCGGGGCCAAGCGCAATGTTTCTAGTTCAGCTCTGGGAAGACTCGAAGGGAGTGCGGAGGGCCGGTGGAAGAAGGAAAGGGGGCGAGAGGAACGGGGGAGAGAAGGATGAGGGGAGACTGGTCCCGGCGAAGCTTCGAGCTACTTTCAAAACAAGATGCCCGGAATCCAGCTCGTTACGAAACCCCCTTTTATACGTGTGTCAGCAAAAACCTTTTACTGTATAGCAGTGATTGAAAACAAATTATAAAATAAGTTTTCACATGTAGAGAGATTACTATACAAAAATAATTTGAGTAGATGGATAAACTAATTAAATATGCTTGAAACGTCTTTAGGCGTTTCGATACTCCGGTGTTTTACTGGATATCGGGGTTAAATTTTTAATCACATTGCAGCATTAAAGAGGCTCCGTGGACCTCGAGTCAGCATAAAAGTGAAGTGTTTCATTTTGCGCATGCAAGCCGAGGAGTATCTGGATTGTTTTAACATCACTTCGCCCTGTAAGTTAAAATTATTTTTCAAGTGAATGAAATGCTTTCGCATCAACGTGCTTATGTTGTGAATCGTCGCTTCCTCGTACTTGTCTGAGCATGTGTTACTAGTATGTATATGTATTTTGTGAAAGGGGCTTAATATTTGCTTTTGCTTTTTATTCTTATTGCTTTTAAATGACAAAAGTTATGCATTCAACTGATTTCAAGCACTAAATGAACTTTACAATAAAATAGTATTTAATTCACTTATTTGACACTGAATGGTACTACGAAAGACATCCAGAAAATAAGAATACAACGCTTGTAATCGTAAATTAAATATATTTAATGAAATTTACAGGATAAGTGCCAAAATATGTTATCGTCAACAAAACATATAATCGTCGTTGATGTCAATGCACATTTGAAGCCTGGACACCAACTTTTCTATACCCTCGTTGTATGCCATAGGCCTCACGCTAGTCCCCAAGAACTCATCATTACAAAATCGCACACATGAATTCCTTCACTTTAATGAAAAATGGTTATCCGAGGGTGCCACGTAGGGGTAGAAGGGTGGGTGAGTCACAGTGTTTCATCCAAGCGACGCCAGCAGGTCCTGAGAAGCCGGGCGGTTGAGGTCTGGGGTTACCAGCACCCCTCTTCTTTTGACATTGATTTCTTGTTTCAACGCCTTTGGGGTCTGACAAAATGCAGCAGCATTAATGGTAGTCCCTTTGGGCATGTAATCGACCAACAAGATTCCGTCCGAGAACACGGATGCCATGATTTCTCTCTGTGAATGTTGAACTTTTTTGTGTTGACACATTTGTATGGCGCCACTGCGCCAATGTGATCCATTTGGCAACGTTCTAACGAATCGCAGGTTTCCACAGCTGGCCATGGACACAACAGGAACACAAGAGGAAGCGAATGCCAGCGAATCACATCTGCGGGGCGAGGAGCAAACGGGAGACGAACCGGATGACGTGATCAGCTGCTGCGACATTTTGTAACAAACCGAGGCGCGCGATATCTCATTAGGACAATTAAGAAACCGCCTATATGACGGTTTCCCCAGTGTTCTGCACATTCCTTGTATTCTTACTTTCTGGATGCCCCTTATACATTTGTGTTATGTGAAACAAAAAATAAAAAAAAACCTAAGTGCTTCGGAAAATTGAATAGTAGAAAATTGAAGTCTCAGGTAGTAATGCAAATTAATCGCGTAATTCACGAAGTTAAAAAGTGTACAACAAACTTCTTTATAACATTCCACAGTAAATAAATATACTGCAGGAGTCTAAGAATGTTAGTTCTTTCCGCTTTTAAAGTAAATGCTTTTCTAAGTACAATCGAAAATGTATAATAAATTATTCATTTATACATTTTACGTCGCTTCACAAAATATTAAGTAATTAATATACCTACCTGATTTTAAAAACGTAACGAAGAAAGTCTCATTATCTTGAATTTAGAATGAATTTATCATGTTTTTCCCGGGCCTCCGTTATCCACTCCTTTACACCAATCCCTCACGACTGGGTGGAGAAAAGTCAGAAAGCAAATTGCAGAAATGTCATCTTCGTCTAGTGACGCATTCGAATGGCACTTTCGTCTCAAGTCAAGGAAACGTCCTGCTTCGTCGAAGGCCCAGCAAGAGGCACTGAACTCTAAATAGTTCAAAGGATGCCCTTCCCCCATTGACGACCTTTCCTCGGAGGCCGTACGGGACTCGTGCCGTCAGAGACATTCCGAGAGGGCGATGAAATGGGAAGGCCGTGCGTCACGCTGTGGGAGGCCTCAGAGGGGGGGGGGCTCTCTACTCTCTCCCTAGACAATTCCATCAAAGGACGCGAAGAAACACTTCAGTTTCTGATTAGAACGGGAAAGGAAAGTGTCATCCAATCTACCGCCTACGTCGCCAGGAATAGTCCTTTTTTAGACTGCGTGATAATTTTTAGAAGGCTGTTTAGATTAAAAAATCATAAACATCAAGAACTGGTGAAAGTCACGCATCCGGTTTTACACGTACTAATTAATCAAACATGACGATGTATTTACTTTATACTCGTAAAATGTGGCGTCGCCGACGCTGTAAACTGTTTTAAAAATAGCTTCATGTGTTGAAAATAGCGTTGCATGCGAATGTAACATTAAAAGGCGACTGTTTTGTATGTTTATGTGAATAAGGTGTTTGTTAAGTTTAATAAGAATAACCTGTGGGTCATATTCATTTGAAAATTGTTATTTGCACACTAATGTAAGAACGTAAAAGTGCAAGTCAAACATAGGAACGTTCATTCATTCTCTAGCATAACTCACAGTTTTGTTTTCTCCATATTCACTTGAAATTCTTCAAGTTTAAAAAGTTACGAGGCAATACTGTTCGTAGGATTTCGCAAATTTATTTTTAAAAATGTGATAATTCGACTCTAAATTGAAATCAAACTGCAAAGCAATTCACTTAGTAATTCAATTGTTCACATAAAGATGTCAATATCAGTGTTGCCAACGCCTTGAAAGAAAATTTTGGCGTATTTTGCTAAGGATTTGTTTGGGTACGGGTGATTAATCACCTCCGTAGATATATGTAGGTGGCGTTCATTTAATTCCTGGCATTCACAAAGATCGCAACGCCAAAACATGAATAAAACACGTTTTTAGAAATTTCTTTGAATTTTCTAGCCGGATCCGAAAACCAATTATCAGTTCCCCATCAGGAGACCGAGACGCGTCGAATGGCACATCATACCTCTCGATTGGGGCACGGGAAGTGATCTAGCCGCGAACCGCACACATACGCACACTCCGTTTTAGTCGAATACTGTACAGGGATTTTATGGCTTACTTATAAAATTCAATTTTCAATTTGAAAGAAATAGTTTTTTATATCACAATGTACCGTAATGCTGACGAGAAATCCCTATATTACAATTAATTGTATAGGAAGAATACATTATACAAACTCAAATAATGACCTTTGCGGGCTTTGAATAGAAATCGCAATAAATGTTGGGTGTCCTAGACGTAAATAAAATTTTATATCATGACATGCAAAAATTCTCACCGTCGAAAGGCGGGTCCTTCATTTACAAGCTGACCTTGTAACATTTAACGCAATTATGATTCATCCACGTTGTAATTATTTTTTGAAAGTTTGCAAAAATGAAGCATGAGTCACGTATCATTTCGGGTAAGCAAAACAATAAATCCCCTCCTCACCCTCTACAAAACAATGGGTGGATGTAAGACGGAAGTGCTTCCTATCTTCCCAGAATTCATCACGAGAAAGCAGACTGTGTGGCCGGTTTCTCTACAGAGGAAGTCAAATTACAGTTCAAGGAAAACAACAGCAGGGGCTTACCGTAAACTCAATCACCTTTTATAAAAACCGAACAGCTCGCAATTCAGAAAATTTTCGTCTCTTGCAGACTATAAAATATTTTAAGAAGTAAAAAGTTTATTGATCATGTTAAATGTTCCTATTAAAAACTAGAATTAATTTGAAACGTATTGAAAATACAAATGACCTACTTACTAAGACTCCATTTTATTTGAAATACAAACGATCTCTAATTACTGCATTTTTTTTCACTTCAAAACCATTATTTTATTTTCCATTCTCTGAGTAATTTCGATCGTAAATCTTATCAAGAAATATATCGATTTTCCTTTCAATGTAGAGCTAACTTTACGAGGAGAAACTAAGTCAATATGTTTAAATACTTTTTTTATAGTTGTCATTTCAGGTAATGTGTTACATATAAAAGTCTCTAACTTCACACGTAGAATTCCACTTTATCAAAACTTGCAGGATGTTATAATTATCATGATGCAACATCTAAAGTTTCTTGACTTTCAACTGTTCTGCTTGCGTGGCTCCCACACAAACTAACTTCCTCAAAATTCAAGCGCGAGAAACACTTCTTTGGATCGGTTACCTTTTTCA